TATCAAAAGAGGAGACTTTACAGAAGATGAAGTGGATCTCATGGTTAGGCTTCGAAAGCTTTTAGGAAACAGGCAAGTACATTCTGCACTTCTCTTTCGTAGCTAACTTGCTAGGAATGAAGGACTTTCTGTTCTTTTTGTTCGACTTGTTTGTGCTTTGCAGCTAAATCTAAGTACTTGCTACTCATCTTAGAAAACACAGCCAAATTAATACATACCCCAACCATATAAATCTTGAATAGTAATATCAAAATGAAAAAAAGAAAGAAAAAAGAATACCATAGCCAGAAGGAAAAGTAATATACGACAAATTATGTTATTTACCCAATATGATATAGTTATTTACTCAATATGATATATATAGAGTTTTTCTATATAAACTACACACTTTTCTTTGTTCTCCCCAATACTTAAATCATTAAGCTCTTAAATTTTATTATTATATAAAAAAACAAAAAATGTCATCCAACTTAATACTTAACTCTAGTTCATCTATATATACACACACCCCACCACTCTTCATATTAAATTTTAGAAAAACACCAACTTTTCTACACCCTATTACCAAAGATATGTCTACGATATGATTATGACTTTGCCGATATAGAAATCAAAATACTGCAGTAGGATCACCAATTCGGACACCAAGGAAAATAGCTTTAATTGGTTTCGCATTAAGTAAAGCCTCCAAACCAGACTAGAAATCTGAGCGAATGATATCTAGTTGCGAACCATAGCTGCTTAAATAAGACTATGTCAATTGAAGGCTACAATCATCGTAGACATATCTCTGACTAAATTTTCTTTTAGTATGCCAGTTTGTTTGTTTGATAATGGTAACTTACATATTAATTTAACTGTCAAGATTTCTCTGTCAAAACCTCTTAGTTTATTCTCAATTTTTTAATAATAATAATAAAAAAAATAATACTGCTACACATTTGACAACTGTATTTTTATCTGTGAGGTTAAGACGAACTTAAAGTGGTAAGGGGCAAGATAGCGGGGTGTGGGGTGTGGGGTGTGAGGTTGATGAGTTTTTTATTTTATTTTTTCTACTGAGTATGTATTTAGGGGTAGTTTGGGAAGATAGTGAAGTTTTCTTAGAGCACCTCCACTCCAAAGGGCAAGGCAAAGGCAAGGCAGGGTTTGTCACTATTCATGTGAATAGTGGCAGCCTTGCCTTTTTTGGTTCCACCCCAAAGGGCAAGGGCAAGGGTAAGGGCAAACACTATTCACTTTAATTTATTTTCTATTTTTTATACTTAAACCATTAATTTTGATAAGCTTTTCGGATAAGGTTTTTGGTTGCCACATGTCACTATTTATTATAAAATTCTTACCTAAAATTTCAAATAACATTTTTGAATTAAATTTTCAAATTAAATTTTTGGATAAGATTTTTGGTTGCCATGTGTCCATATTTATTATAAAATTCACATCTCACTCATCATACAATTGAAATACTCCGAGTCCTCAGAGTCCGATACAATCGAATACAAGAATGACTCAATCATTGACGGAGGCGGTTCGACCGGATCACAACGTGCGGGAGTATTTTCCTTCGGAGGACGTAATAGTGCCATTATTTCCGACACAGAATGCACCACTGGAACCGACTACAGGCATTGTTCACTTGAGGAGTCATGTGTAACGGTTTTCCTCTTTTTTGCTTTGCCTTGAATAATCTATTAAAAAAATGAGATTGGAAATGCAAGAAATATATATATTTTTTAAAATGACATTAAATTGAATAAAACGGCAAATTTTATTTTATTTTACACCTCGAGGCCAAGATTTTGACCTCTTCGAACATTTGTCCACGACCCTCCGGCTTTGATGGAAAAGGACATTTGTATTTTGCACAATGTAATTTTGTAGTAGAAAATTTGGTGTGGAAAGTGAAAAATATTGAAAGGAGATGAATTTGTATGAAAATTTGGTGTGGAAAGTGAATAATATTGGTAGGTATTTATAGAAAAAAAAATTCAGAATTTTTTGATATTTTTTACAAATTTTGTAGATATTTTTTTTAGCCAAAAACTAGACAGTCGTTGGATTGTATAAGATTTTTGGATTGAAGGCTCCAGGAGAAGCCACATGGCTTATAGCCATTGGTTTCTGTGGGCTGGTGGGGGCAACGTTGATGTCACGCTAATGTCAGCGCCTTCAAGCAACAACCTAGTCCAATTTTGCTCGTGGGCTTGCTTAGGCTGGTGGGTCCCATACCTTGCCCGGGCTGGACTTCGTGCGCTGGAGTTGGATTCGGGCCTCTAGCTGCCATTTGGTCGGGTAGGGCCCCTGCACTGGAGGTGCTCTTAGAAATTGTCAAAATTTGAATTAAAAGTTGAGGTGAACTTAGAATATGAGGTGAACATAGAGAAGTGCGGGGTTTAAATAGAAAAGCTCTATATATATTATAGTAGCATACAAGGGATTAGTAGTGGACTAGATTTTAATTCCATTGTACTTAATAAGATATTTATTATGAATAATGTTACTTTTACCACATTTGTATATCACATTCTCATACCACATTATGTGGCAAATGAGGTGGACAACCACATCAATTAAAATTATTTAACATTTTCTTTTCTTTTATGATTTGTTAACACTTAAAAAAAAATTAATTAAACTTTCTTTATTAAAATACACTTAATTGATTTAATTGATGTGGCATATGATATGGACATGCCACATCATGTGGTATAATAATGTGGGATAAAAATATGTAAATGTAGCATTTATTATTATCAAAATTTGGCGCCGTCTGTGGGAAGCAACACAAAACGCTATGTCGTTCTCCTTCTCGAGTGCTCTCGGCACCCTTGTGAGCCATGCCTTCGGCACTTTCTACGCCGACTTGCCGAACGGCACCATTGCATCATTCGGCGCGTGTGATGTCTTCACATCCCCCCAATGATTCGGCATCTGGCTTCGGCCTTTGGCACCCTTTCATCATTCGGCGCGTGTGATGTATTCACATCCCCCCAATGATTCGGCATCTGACTTCGGCCTTTGGCACCCTTGCATCATTCGGCGCGTGCGATGTCCTCACATCCCCCCAATGATTCGGCATCCGCCCTCGGCATTGGCCTTCTGCCTTCGGCCTTCGGCACCCATGCATCATTCGGCGCGTGCGATGTCTTCACATCCCCCCAATGATTCGGCATCTGCCTTCGGCCTTCGGCACCCCATCATCATTTGGCGCG